CTGACCGCCTGCAGATATTTGATCATAGCCGGATGGGTGGCCTCGTAGTCACCATTGTACTGGCTAACGATCAATTGAGAGTCTGAGCAGGCGGCAATCTTTGTTGCCCCTTCTGCCTTACACATGCGTATACCGGCTAGCAGGGCTTCATACTCCGCCTCATTATTAGAGGCTTGGAACCAAAACCGTAGTGCATACTCAAACTTATCCCCTTCTGGAGAATGACATATGACGCCTGCACCACAGCCGTTCACCGTAGAGCTACCGTCTACGAATAACTTCCAAACCTGATCAGGATTTTCCGGTTGCACCGACCTAGTCATCTCGACCTTTCACTGCCCGCCTGGGTTCAAAAGTTATCTCGAGGCTCTATATTTCAACAGCCCACTTGATCATTCTACCGGATGACTCGATGGTGGTCATTGGGTGCTTGAGCGGCTGGTCTGTATATACAATCACCGGATGAGCCAAAAAATAGGGCTTCAACCGTTTGACTACGACGAACAGGGCCAACCCAAATTTTTCGATCATGGGGTACCGGAGTTCAGCATTCTTAAGAACATGGCTGATGAAATACACCAGGAGCTGATTACCGTCTCTCTCAGCGAGGAGAACGGCACTAAGGGCATGATCAGAGACGGCTAGATACATATAGAGGACCTCCCGGGGCAGGGGGCTCACTAGCCTTGGCAACGAATGCAAATGCTGCTTTAGCTTCTGGAATGCCATTTCCGCCTCTTCACCCCACTCGAATCTGGAACTCTTCCGGATGGCTTAGAAGAAATAGAGGCACTTGTCACCTGACCGGCTGAGAAATCTTCCCAACGCCGCCAGGCAACCGGTCAATTTCTGGGCTTCTTTCACAGTGCGGGGAAACCGCATGTCAATGACCGCCTGTACTTTTTCAGGATTAGCCTCTATGCCCCTTTGATCGATCAAAAATCCGAGAAATTTCCCAGACTCAACACCAAATACACACTTCTTTGGGTTAAGCATGACCCGGTGCCGCCTGAGTGTGGTGAATGTTTCTCGGAGGTCCAGTAGGTGATCCGTCTGTAGCTTGGATTTGACTATCATGTCATCAATGTACGCCTCTACATTCCTGCCAATCTGATTGATGAAGACGGTGTTTATCATGCGCTGGAATGTAGCCGGTGCATTCTTTAACCCAAACGGCATCACCTTGTAACAAAATAACCTCTAATCAGTGACGAAGGTCGTCTTCTCTTGTTTTTTTTTCCATAGGGGTATTTGGTGGAAACCTGAGTAGGCATCCATGAAACTCATCAGAGCATGACCGGCTGTAGAGTCGACCAGATTGTCGATCATTGGAAGCGGGTAACTGTCCTTTGGGCATGCTCTGTTCAGATCTGTGTAGTCTACACACATCCGCCAGGTACCATTCGGCTTTTTCACGAGGATAACGTTTGCTACCCAATCCGGGTAGTAGCATTGCCGGATGAACCCAGCATCTAACAATTTTTTGACCTCAGCTGCTGCCGCCTGAGATCTCTCTTCACCGTGATCCCTCTTTTTCTGCCTGACCGGCTTCTTTCTAGGATCCACGGCAAGCTTGTGGACAGCTAGATTCGGGCTGACGCCTGGCATCTCCTCCACTTCAAAGGCAAAGATGTCTTTGAATTCTCTTAGAAGTTGGAGCAAGTCTGCACCCAACCGTTCATAAGCAACCGTCCTAACCTTGACAGTTCTGTCAGGACGGCTGTTATCGAGGACGACATCAATGCAGTCACCAGCCTGCAAAGGTCATAGGTCATCTGACCTTTCCCCGGCTAGTGATTGCTATTTTTTTTGCTTGACGGGATCCGTCTGGCCCGCCTTTCTTTTCTTACCGGCTGCCCTTGGAGCCGGGACTACTGCATCGCAGTTATCAAGGTCTATGGGGTTGTCGTCGGCGACTGCCCCCATAGTAGGTCTGACTTCAGAGAGATAGCACTCCCTAGCCGTCCTCTGGTCCCCCTTAAGGGAACCGACTGTACCATCGTCCTTTTCAAATTTGACAAGCATGAGGGAGGGAATGATGACAGCCTTTGATTCATTGAGGGTCGGACGGCCAAAAATCATGTTGTAGGCGGCAAGCTCTTCTACAACCAGGAATTTGATCACCATGTGGCGTCCTTCTCCCTTTTCACCCAGCCGGATGGGAAGATCTATGCTCCCAACCGGATGCACTACACCTCCCCCAAAACCAACAAGCGGGTAGGGCGCCTGGTGCATGCTACTGGATTTGTACTTGAGCTTGGTCAAGCACTGATAGCTGATTAGGTCAGACGAGCTCCCGGTATCGATTAGGATCCGGCCAACTCTCTGATTGGCAACCTTGCATTTAATGACTATGGGGTCATCGTGAGGCCGTCTGACCTTGCCCCGGTCCTTTTCAGAAATAAGGACCTCAGGAAATATGTCTTTCGATGCCTGGGTCTCCTCGACTGAGTTAACCAGCTTCCTGATGTCATCTTTGGTGCCCCGAATAGTGGGACCCCCTCCGGCAAAGCCGCCTGCTAATGTGAAGATAGTCTCTTCATCCGTTTCTGAATTTGCAAGAACAACTTTTGCCACCTACCCTTTCTTGGCCAGGGTGTTGCCCTTGGCTTTGGGCAGATAAGACTTTAGAGCCCCTTCATCAGCCAGACGGTCTAATAGCCGCCTGAGGCTATAGCAACCATTAGTGTCATGGCCAACATCCTCATGGTACTGGCAGTATTTGCTTTTGTCCCGGCTGCCTACGGGGCTTTTCATAACAGCCGGCTTGTCAAGAGACATCCGGTCCTTGATCTACATGAGGATAGAGGAGCAGTCCTTTGTGAACTCGTACTTGGGAACGTACGGTTCAGATTTCTGTCTGAGCTTCTGAGCCGGCTGACCAGATCGGTCTGCTGCCCAGACCTCCTTTCTCTTCTTTTCTTCCTTTTTAGCCGGTTGTTGTTGTTGTTGCCGGCTGTCTCTTCTGTCAGATTTTTTGAAATCCGACGGCTGCTTTACAGCACAAAGCTCCGTCGCCTGTATGTAGGCTTCAGCTTCCATTAATGCCTCTTGGAGGGTGGCTACCCTTTTCCGGACGAGGTCAAACTTGAAAGTCGACCCATCCTTCAGACCTTTAAAGAAGTCTGTGTAAGCAACCTCATCAGACATTCCTTGAATCTGAATTCTCATCAGATTGAACCGCCTGACATACGACCGGAGTCCTTCTCTGTCACCCTGCTGTATTGCCCCCAGATCGAGGGTTGTCTTTTTAGCCGAGATGTTCATTGAGAAGTTTGACGTAAACAAGTACGCCAAGGTCTTGAAGCTGTTGATGCAGCCGACTGGTAGGTTACCAAACCACCGTTGGGCAATGCCCTTCAGGGTAGCCGGGAAGCATCGGCACCAGACGGCATCATCCAACTCCTGTAGGTACATGAGGTTGGAATAAGCCATTAAATGATCTTCTGGGTTGGAGGTACCATCATAGGCCCCTACCAACACGTTTTTGATCTTAGCCGGCTGTGCCACCTGGGTTATCTCAAGGGAGAACGCCGAGGGCTGTTCTCCCAGATTTAGCAGGCGCTGCTGCCAATCCATGAGTTAAAACGGCTGCTGCACATTTCTGCCAAACGGACCCGTTTGGGTAAAAGGGGATCCACCCAGCCCATTCGGCGAACCAAACAGACCAGGTTGGATCACTTTGGGTCCAAACCGGGCGGATGGTTTGCCCGTCTGACTCCCTAGACTTGTTCCTGTACGCCTGTTAGAGGTGTCACGGAAACTGTCTGGAAAGGTCGACGTTGAAGCCGACGCAGACGCTAGACTTCTCTTTTCTTGAAGAAACGTCCGGGCGTCAGAGAATATCTTTTTTGAACCATCCGGCTGCAAGTGCCGGATGGGTTTTCTGGGTTCCACTTGCGGGAAGCGAAGCCGGTTTTGATCGAACCGGAGGCCCTCCCCCTCCTTCGGCTTTGGATGAGGAGTAGGGACCCGGTCTTTAATAGCCTTCTTGCTAGAAGAAGGCTTCTTGGCCGGCTGACTCTTCTTGGGAGTAGCTGACCGGATGAGGTTCTGGATCTCGCCCTTGAAACTATTCGTGAAGGTCATGAGTTCGTTCCTAGTAACGGGAGCAGAATCCTCTGCCGCTTGGGCAGCCCCAACCGTGTTGCCGGCTGGGTTGCTTGGAGCAGCTTGGATGTTTTCCCGTTCCTTCTTATCCTTGGAACGGGTGTGCTTTGTTCTGAAGGACCCGTCTGGGGTCACATAGGTGTTGAGGTCGTACTCATCACCGCTTTCATGGTCCGTCTGGACCTCAGGCTCAGCTGATGGCCGCCTGTCCTGATCCGGTGGTACAGGGTTAGAAGCCATCTCAAAAGTACTCTCCCCAAAGACGGCGCCAAATGTTTCGGGGTTTTTTGATGTGTCCTGCGGGAGAGTTACAATTCCAAGAATGCCCTTCGACCGCCTGTACCTGCAAAACCACGAAGACTCCGGTTGGTTGGAGCTCCGCCTCCGACGATCAAGTCAGTGATGTACGGGAGGAAGAAAGTGCGTAAAAGAGTAATTACTTCTCGCGTAATGGGAGAATTTCGCAATTAAGATTGCTCGGTTTTTGTGTAAAATGTATTTATGATAGTATTGAATGTCAATTGATTGTAAGTGAATGCCCCATTAATGAGGATTCTCCCACTATTTATAGTAAGGAGCATTGGTTCCCCATTTAGGGTTCCTAGGACACGTGTCAGCAGGGGATTGGAGCCCTGCTGACTAATGGCAAGGTGCCACGTGTCGCTCGGCCATTGGGCCACGTGGCTGGGTAATTTTACCCCAAACAATATCTTTTTTAAGATCAGATGTAGTGTTTTATTTCCCCCTAAGGGCTAATCTGGTCTCAAAAAACTTGGAAAGAAAATCTTAAATCAATTTTAGCCTTGTAAAACTAGAAAGTATCTGAAAACATCCTTAAATTGTTAAGTAACAAAGTTTGTAATTGAGAACAAGAACACTTTGAGCTTTGTTATTGTGAGGCAAAACGATTCATTGTTGTGATGGCAAAGACTATAATAAGAGTACAAAGATATGATGACCTTAGGAAATATTCTGGCTAAGATCAAATAATGCTATATTCTATCCTATGCAAATCATAACATAACATAATTATCATATCTCCACATAATTCTATCTTAACATTTTTGTATGTAAGAGCCTCATATCTTTCAGATACCTAGCACATATTCCTGCAGACTGTAAGAGCCTAAAATTTCAACAAGTGCAGCATAGAAACCTAAAAAATGCATTGCTTCAACAACGCTTAGCTCTTTAAGGAACATCTCCTGTGTTATTTTTAGCTCTCTAATGGCATCTTCGATTCTCATTCGATCTTGAGGTGATCCCACAGAACACTTCACGCCGATGTCTATGACAGACCATACACATTTAACATAACAGTCATATCGTGCCAAAGCTACATATTGACTTCCACTGCTTGCAACAACATTATCATCAAAAAGCTTTGGGTCGATAATCTCTGTTAATTGGTCAGCCAATGCTGATTTTGCATACTTATGAAGGTCTAAATCTCCCTCGAACATCCTATTTGTGGGATATATAGTGCTCATCATCTCTATCAACACGATGCCACAGCTGTACATGTCACCTTCCTTTGATACCATACTTCCTAGGCCGTACTCTATCCAAAACAGAATGTTTCAAAAGTCAGATCAGTAAAAATAATAATAATAACTTGTGAAAAATGCTAAGTTTTCCTTTACTGATTTTTACTCAACTGAAGTAATTTGCACATCAAAACTCATTTTTCGCGTAAATTAAACAGAATGACCTTAAAAGAAGTAGTGTAGTTACCTGGAGCAGCATATCCAATTGTCCCTTTAACTGCAACTGAATTGCTATTATAAGTCCTTGCATCCGAGTGAAATGTAGCTAACCCGAAGTCTCCAACATGGGCAACCAAGTCACTGTCAAGAAGAATGTTGCTTGGTTTGAGGTCACAATGGATTATAGGAACATCACAACTGTTGTGCAGATAATCAAGTGCACAAGCAACATCGATGGCAATGTTCAATCTTTGGAGGAGGCTTAGAGGTTTCGTATGTTGTTCAATGTGAATCCATTGTCTAAGGTTTCCATTTGGCATGAACTCGTAAATTAATGCCTTAAAATCATTCCCTTGGAAGTCAGTACTCGAGCAAGCAGTGACAATCTTAAGCAGGTTCCTATGACGGATATTTTTCAATGCTTCACACTCTGCCATGAAACTCTTCCTCGCTCCTTTCTGTTCAAGGCTGATAACCTTAATGGCTACAACCATGCTGTTTTCTGGGTCAAGGACTCCTTTATAAACAGAACCAAAACCGCCTGCACCTATTAAGTTTGCTTCCGAAAATCTGTCAGTTGCCTTCAGAAGAATATTATAAGATACTTTTGAGAAAGGCTCCTTCAAGTTCAACAACGATTCCTGAGATAGCTTGTTCTTTTTATTCCTAATACACATCAGGAAATATATTGCTGAGATTATCGACACACCAACAACTAATGAAGCTACCGCGATAATCAGGGTCACAGCAACAGAGAATCTACCCCTCCTTTTAGACCCTCTTGCCAAGGTAGTATTGGTTGAACATTTTGGCAAATGAATCTCAGGAATCCCTCCACAAAGCTTTTTATTTCCCAAAGTTGTCACAGCACTTATATTTGTGAAAACTCCTCTTCTCGGAACCTCTCCCTCTAAATCATTAAAAGATACATCTAATCCTAGTAATGAAAAATTAGACAAGAAATCCGGAATTTGGCCTGACAGTCTGTTATGAGATAAATTCAAGGTCTTGATACTAGTTAGAGACTTGAAAGATTGAGGAATCGAACCAGTAAAGAAGTTTTCTCCCATTTGAAGTTCAAGAAGGCCAATGCAACTAGCAATGCTAGATGGAACCTTTCCTGAGAACGCGTTTCTTGTTATGTCTAACACCACTAAATTCCTCAACTGACCAATCTCCACAGGGAAGACTCCTTGCAGATGATTTTGATCCAAATGAAGTTCGAGTAACATTGAAGCATGGAACAGTTGAGAAGATACAGGCCCACTGAGGTTGTTTTCTGAAAGTGTCAAGTATAATAAATTTGTGCACTCTCCTAGACTCGAGGGAATAGCTCCTTCAAAGCTATTGTTATCCATATATAACTCACTCAACCGCGATAAATTTCCTAATGAATAAGGAATATCTCCAATGAGGTGATTGTTACTACAGGAAAAGTGTTCTAATTTGCTAAGATTTTCAATCTCAAGTGGAAGATGTCCTGTTAGTTCATTGCCTGACAATTGTAGTCTTTGTAAGTTAATGAGGTTGAACAATTCAGTTGGAATGGTTCCAGTTATTTTGTTTTGTTGAAATCAATCCCAGTAATTTCTGTTGACAGATTACCAAGAAAGCGCGGCAGACTCCCACCAAATCTGTTAGAACCACATTCTAACACACTTAACTGACTACAGTTAACAAGAGTTTGTACAAAACTCAGATCATCAGGTTCTCCCATCCCCAGATAGTTCATGGTGATCTCTAGGAATCTAAGATCGGGCATGTCTCGAGCACTAAACATGAATTTTCCTGTGAAATTGTTAGAATAAAGTGCTAGAACTTGAAGCTGAGTAAGGTTAGAAAGAGACAGAGGAAGAGTTCCATGGAAAAAGTTTCCACTTATTTTAAAGTTTGTAAGCTGAGGAAGTCGAAACCCAATATCGAATGGAAGAGTCCCTTCTAGTCTATTAAGGTCCAAATCAACAACAAAGAGAGATGAAAGGTTGTAAAACGACGAAGGAATAGTACCTGAAATCTCATTTTGTGCAAGACTGATGTAAACTAAATTTGTTAAAACACTTCCAATGTTGTCAGGGATGCTTCCTTCAAAAGAATTGACAGCTGCAGACAAATAGCTTAACGAAGTCATGTTCGTTACAACTGTATTAAGGAGGTCCCCTGTGAATCGATTTTCTTGCAGTAACAAGTAATTCAAGTTTGACAGACGGCCAAGTTCACGAGGAATGCTTCCTGTTAGACGGTTTCCTCCAAGACTAAGTCTCTCTAGTTTCGAGCATTGAGATATATTGGCTGGAACTTCTCCTTCAAAGGAGTTCCTCTGTAAATTTAGAGACCTTAGACTAAGAAGATGACCAATTTGAGGTGGTATATGACCTTGGAAAGTATTATTAGACAGACTCAGATTCTGAAGGAAACTCAGGTTTCCAACAGAAGGTGATAAGGTTCCTACTAAACCGTAGGAGACAAGTCGTAAGCCAATGACTCGTTGTGAAGGTGTTGCATCACAAGTTACACCGAGCCATTGACACACGGAAATGGTGCTGTTCCAAGAGTTCAGAACACCTTGAGGGTCATTAGTAATTTGAGATTTGACTGCTAAGAGGGCGAGACGGTCTACTGAAGAATTGGCAGAAGTAAGGCAGGAATTTGGCAAACAGAAATAGAACATGAAAAAAATTATGAAGAAGATGAGATTCATGACTGATATATGGTTTCAGACTTTCAGGTCAGCTAACTGCTATAACTAGCTGAGTTATTCCTGATTTCTGAGTATATATCAGTATATAATTATATGAATTAATGAATATATATACACACACGGATACGGTTATCCTGGTAACTTATATAATACTCATTTTTATCAGATTGGAAAGGTACACGACATTGATGGTAAGGAAAGACGAAATGCTAAGTAATTGCATAAAACTATACTTGATACAATAATGTGTGGAGATGTGTTGACTCTTGACTACTAGGGTAATTATTGTACATTTCTAGATGCAATACTGTGTAGGCGTGTAGGAATGTGCTGACTAATTGGATTATTAGTCAGTATTTATCTTTGTAAATATGACAAATAGATGTTCAAATTGGGTATAGTTTGGGTCAATACGTAACAGTCAAATTCAAATGATAAGTCATTCAGCCTAATTTTGAATTACTTTGGGTCATATTTAGATAAAGTAATTTGGTCTTTTGTCAACTTGTTAAGTATTGCCAAAAAAAAGACTACTTTTTTTTGGTGTTTAGAAAGTCACAAGGGCGGGTGATGAGAATCGATCTCAAGATCTCTTGAAATCAGGAGGGAGCTCTAACCACTTGAGCTATACCTCACTCTCCAAAACAAAAAAAACTACTTGTGATATATAACAAAATAATAACCAAAGTCAAAAAAATTAATAATAATTACCAATGTGAATCAAATTATCTTTTAGACTGATGAAGACATGAAGTTGGTTAGTATTGAGATATCGTTGAGATGATAATTTAAACTTAAGGTATCGAACACGAGTTAATTTTGTCAAATTCAATCATTAGTTACGCAAAAGTAATGTTGCTTAATTTCATTAGAAGAACTGTTTTCCTGTTCAATAAAGTTTTGCTGCCAAGTGAGAAACTTCCTGTGAGATTTCGAGGAAAGCATAACCTTTTGAATATTAGTTATGCAAAAGTAATGTTGCTTAATTTCATTAGAAGAACTGTTTTCCTGTTCAATAAAGTTTTGCTGCCAAAGTGCCAAGTGAGAAACTTTCTGTGAGGTTTCGAGGAAAGCAGAACCTTTTGAATATTAATGCCTAGTAGTAATGTAAAAAGGATCTGACAGTTCGGTTTCGATTCGGTTTTAAATCGGGTCGGTTTGAAATCGGTTCAAATGTCTTATGAGTCGGTTTTAGTTCGGTTTAAATAATTATCGGTTCGATTCGGTTACGGTTTATTCTTGAACGGTTTAAATTCGGTTCGGGTTGTAAACGGTTCGGTGCAGACGGGTTGCGGTTTTTTAACGTTTCGGTGTAAACGGTTTTTATCCCAGTTTAAATCCGGTTCGGGTTGTATACGGTCCGGGTAGTAAACGATTCGGTACAGATGGGTTGCGGTTTGTTAACGGTTCGATGTAAACGGTTTTTATCCCGGTTCAAACAGTTTCGGGTTAGAAACGGTTCGGTTCTTTTTTGGTTCAGTTATTTTAGTTCGGTTTATAACTAGTTCGGTTCATTAACGGGTTCGATTCTTCTACGATTTAACATTATTCAAATTGGTTTTATTTCAGGTTTACTAAATTACGGTTCAGGTCTGTTTTTTATTTCAAAAAATCGGTTTTTTATCGAGTCGTTTGGATTCGGGCAATTAAACAGTTTTGGTTTGAAATTTGATACTACTTTCTAACTTTTTGCTGCTTAACAAGCTTTATATCAAGCCGAGACTTCATCACTTCATATTGAGGCATCATATTATATGCAAATTCTCATTAATTTTATAAATACATATCATGTTATGTTTCACGTTTAGCCATACTGATCTTACTAGTTTATTACGAAGTAGATTATAAAAGTTTAGTGCATTAATGTATTATTGTTTTACTATCAGATTGTTATGCGCTTCTTATTTGATCATTTAATTAATAGTGTCATAATCATGATTTGATGAGTTGTTGTGACATCGAAATTTGCAATTTGGTATTCGATACTTAATTAGTCAACAAAACTGATAATTAAGACTTGTTTATCATTATATATTTGCATAAAGTTATATATGAAGATATTACAAAGTAGTTTGATTTGTATAATGAAAGAAAACATTAGTGAATAAGAAGGTAATATTGATTCTTTCAATCGATTATACATATACATAACATCTAACCATCTCATATTCTCATAATTAAATATTTATTAGTACAAAGGGATGAGAATCATAAGATTATTACATTTTTGTATATCCTTTACTAGTTTACCCCAAAGGCTTAAGTCACTAATTAAGTAATTACTAATTACTTAATTAGACTAACAAGTTAATAAGAAAGAGTAACTTTTAACTTGAGTCTAATAGATCAAATACTGAAATGCTATTAGTATATTGCCGAGTAGGATAGTCTAGTACACTGTTAATCTGTTATGCAACTATGCTAAATTGACAATTGCTCATAATAGTCATATTAGTCAATCACTCATGTAGTCATATCTAATTAAGTAATTTGTAGTTATGTACTAATCTACTAGTCAATTCTATCATTTATAAGTTTTCACGATTACAAGTGTATTGCTTACAGGCACAGCTAAACTGATATAAATATAATCATATAATAAATCCATTGTATTTCTAACTCTCTAAGATATGACGTCATTATATTATTTTACGGTCTTCGATTTTTTATTAATCGCAACGCTAGACATTTACACGCTAACCGATTCACATTTTATAATTTAAATAACTTAATAAGTTAATGTGTGTGATAAAAAAATATAAAAGCTGATATATTATGAAGGTATATGTCGTTTTATCGAGATTCGAGAAATGTAATTATTTTTTTTTTTTTTTTGAAGCCATGTAATTAATTAATTGTATAAAAGTTTGTTTAATGTTATTAAAATAAAATTAAAATTTTGATTTTTACAAAGTGGAAAATTGATTTAATTTTTTTTTTTGGGTTGACAATTTCATCAAAATATGAATGGTGGGAAATTTCCCTCCAAAAACCAAAAGGCAAAACAAATTTTAGATTTAGAATTTAGATATTTTGATTGTTAAATAATTAAATAAACATGTGGTTCATATTTTAAGCAAAAGGAAAAAAAAAAACAAAAAAAAAAAAAAAAAAAAAAAACCTTGAAAGTGTGAAACTGAATTACTGAATTAGGTTAGCTGGTTAGGTCCTCTAATGGTTCATCTTTTCTTTTTCTCTCTCCTTCTCTTTCCTCATTTATCTTCCTTTTGTGAAAGTGTGAAACATGTCGTTCATCTTTTCTATTTCACCAAATGCCACTGAGTAATTGCAAAATTTACCAAATGCCATCAAAGTTTTCAAAATTCACCAAATGCAACCGAGTTTTAAGAAAATTCACCGCGTGCCATTAATGACTAACAGCCGTTAGTTGACCGTTAGTTGACCCCACCTCTTGCCACGTGTCACCTTCTGATTGGTCCGTTTTTAAAAAATAATAATAATAAAACAAAAATTAAAAAAATTTCCAAAAAAAAAACCAAAAACATTAAAAAAAAGAAAATTATAAAAAAAAAAGAAAAGAAAAGAAAACCCCAACCCCAGCCACCACCTCGGCATTTTTTTTTTTTAATTTTTTTTAATGTTTTTGGTTTTTTTGGAATTTTTTTTTAATTTTTGTTTAATTATTATTTTTTTAAAAACGGACCAATCAGAAGGTGACACGTGGCAAGAGGTGGGGTCAACTAACGACTTTCAGTCATTAATGGCACTCAGTGAATTTTCTTAAAACTCGGTGGCATTTGGTAAATTTTGAAAACCTTGATGTCATTTGGTGAATTTTACAATTGCTCAGTGGCATTTGGTGAAATAGCCGTATTTGAAAAGTATCTTTAATAGTATTAAAATGTTAATAAAAGTTACATATTTGAAAAGTACAACGATAACACGTATCTAACAAATACTAATAGCGAATAGCTGAATATCCCTATAGTTAAGAATGACAATTGTTTCGGGGTTTTCTGATGTCCTGCGGGAGAGTTACAATTCCGAGACTGGAACCGGACGCCTGTACCTTCAAAACAACGGAGACTCCTGGTGGTGGGAGCTCCGCCTCCAACGGTAAAGTTAGTACTTGATTAAGGAGTAATTAATGCGGAAATTAAAGTGATTGGGTCTCTCTAGGTGAGAGTGTTTAATGTAGGTAATCTGCTTTGTTAGCGTGATCAGCCTGTTATCTCCGTAATCCCTCCTTAATGAGGATTAAGGGAGGTATTTATAACCTTGGGAAACGTGCCCATCCTAGGTTTAGGTTAACCTAGGGCTGATTGGGCTTCCCTCGGAAGTTGGGCCTGGGTGGCCGGTTTCTCCATTAGGCATGGAGTATGCCACATGTCATGACATAATAGGTCCAAGGTGGACGAATAAGCGTGTGCCACGTGGCAAGCCCTGACAGTTCCAACTAGGGGACACTTGGCAGGACCTGATTGGCCCACGTGGCGCATTCCGATTGGTGGGAGCAAAACCCCCTAATCATTTGCCCCTCACAGGTGGCACGTGACTGGTCACGTGTTACCTGTGATAGGTGTCGCACTGTAACAGGCGACGGCCTGCTACAGGTGTCAGTCGGCGAAAGGCCGAGAGATTTTCCCGCCCAAATTTTGAATTCTGAAAGTGACCCTTCGCCTTCTCACTTCGCCTATATAAGGGAGTGTTGACTTCAGTCATTTTCACACTTGAGAACTTTGTGAGAGAACATTCGGACCCCTGAACTTGCTCTGACAATTTGGACCTTTTCTGCCTACCGCCTGTTCTGACAAGCCGACTGCAAAGGATTTTCAGAACTTCATCAATCGTCACTCGTTCAGGTAACCGTCGGTTCTCTTACTCTTAATTTTTTCTTTATTTTATTCTTTTTTGAAATGGCACCACGGAAGCACACGACACGACCTAGGTTAGTGATCAGCCGGTCACCGGGGACGGCTGAATCTAGGACTAGGAGTGCCGCCTGCCCTTTTCCGGACCCATCTTTGCCCTTTATACAA